GGACAATATACACAATTCTATTGTCACGACATTTAATCAAATATGTTGCTATTTTTAGTAACATGCATTCAATTGAACAAGGTGAGTTCGTTAGATGCGGGAATTTATACGGATTTTAATCTCTTAATCTTTAAAATGTGCGACAAAATTCAATATTATCATGTGGGTGTGAGAATAATGATGCGCTTCCTGCCCGCCTTCAAGTTCAAGTTGGGTGATGGTCAATGTACTGATGATACCTGAGCTAAAAGACCAACATTTACTTTGTAAGTTATCGTGTTTAATGTAGAAAGTGCATTCGCCTGTTCTATAGGTGGCGTCCTCTGGCGACGAATAGTCCTGTGACGTGACTGGGTGTAAGAGCTGCCGTCACTTCACAGTGAGGATCTATTGTGGTTTGTAGTCATCGGTCAAATTAATAAAAACATGTTTTTGGGAAGTTATTATATATTAAATGGGAACTACACAAACGTTCAAACTTGTACTTTAAACTACATTACTTTCACTCGGCAATTTGAGGGTCAAAGAAACAGTGACTTCGTCGCAAGGGGCGAAGGTAAATTTTCCAGGGTTTTGTCACAGTCGTTTTGCTGGTAAATGTAGTACATACATTGACATCCCGTGCAAGGCAACAATCTTACACCATGCTTCTATTTTAGGGTATGTTCTCGCTCCAAATAAGGCTCTAATGAAATCAGACCCAATGAACCTCGGACCAGTCAGGTCGCCGAAGAACGTAAAAGAAAAGAAAATCCCTCTGCAAACAAGAATGATTATTCGGCACGTGTTGGGTTTGATGAAGGTTTATATAGTCTACGTGAATCGAAGTCTGATCGCGCAGTAGTTATATGATTGCGTAGATTGCGCACGCCTTTTGAAGTTTTAAAGCCTGGAATTGTAATTGTCAGATAACCATAAATGCATTGCAGACGAAAGTTATGCTCAATTGTCTGTTATGTACTAAATTGTAATACCACAGGTAAGTTACTTGCAAACACTGTTTGTGAAGTGTTTGACACTGTCCGTAACTTCCCAGCAACAGGAGTGTACCCCTTCAAGTTCCGGTAACCCCGCAATGGTAACTCATTATACATAAGATTTTGCTAAAAATAATAATTCCTGTCCTGTACAGAAACTAGTCGTTTCCACAAAATATCGATTTTTAATTGAACAACGATTTTTTTTTGGGGGGGGGGAGTTGAATGTACATCAGTATTAAGATCCTAATCGAACCTACAGGAAAACGAACCTCATTTTCTCCCACGTGGGCTGGCGCGGTCTGTGTCGTAAATTTTGTATTTTAGATTGTTGCCAATAAGCACGGGTATGCCCAACAAAAATGTTATTATTAACACGTTCATGTACGAGTACGTTAATAATAACACCGAATAACGTGTACAAACGATTGGTTCTCGGCAACCTCAGACTGTCGCTGCGTACAACTTGAAGGGCAAATGTTCCTCCAATGGAAGGACAAAAACTTTGTACGTAAAGTAAAGGTATTTGCTCGGTGTTTTTGGATGAATATGTTATACCTGTCAATGTCCGCAAACTGTTGTGCCTTTGTCGCAGCATTTGCCTTTGCATTCTTACCGAATCCCAACAATTTTCTCATCAATCATTGCACAGTTGGACACTTAACGTTGTATAATGTAAGACCACTGTTATTGAGCTTTAGGGATGAAGATGCCCCACCCGTCAAAAAGCGGGTGGGGGATCTGGACGAGATACATTCACTAGGAAATTCTATTCTATTCGAAATAATCAAATTAAGCCCGATGTGTTATTTGTGAGAGTGTCACACTGGCAGTCGTCATAACAAACGTGACACGGCGCGATGGCTGTAAGCGCTTTTAATTCCCATAGAGAGGTGGCCATGTGCACACAGCCATGACATGAATTCTCAAATATTGAAGTATAACTTATTGTACATAGCAACATTTGTAAAATTGTCAGAACTGTGACGCGAATCAAATTGAAACTAATAGAAACATTACAGCAACTCGCAAACACAATGCCATACGACACATACAATAAATCATTCCTGTTGACGAGATTGTTTTCAATTGATTCCATAAACACGGCTATTAAAAAGTGAACTTTTGACACAGGTATTCAGGGCGAAACCAAATATTCTATTCATCGTAAGATAACGGGTTTCACCATGACCTTAAAATATCCTACTCTCTGCTCCGGCAACCAATATTAACACGGAGGCGAAGGCGAGTGTAAATTACGCCGCCCTCACGGCGCTGATACCGAAGGAGACACTGAATCTAGGAGCGAGTACGTCCATACATTGTAACATTTGTTCTGCGTGGTGCAATGATCCCCAACAGAACACTGCACCAGACACTCCTGGCGGCGACC